TCTGCATGGCTGGAATTCAACACTGTGAGGGCAAAGCAAGCACTGCTTGTCAAACATCCTCTGACACTTCGACACCAAGGCAGCCTAAGTACCAGTGTAAGAGATTCCTCCTTCCAGGTCATAGTGAATATACCTAGTGAGGCAGAAACCTAAGCCATGCGTGACTTTATTTATTGTAAATGCACAGTGATGCAAAATCTTAAGAAATCGATTCAAGAATTGTTCTCTCTGTTCCATTAAAGGATGACATGATCAAAAAAGACTGTTAACTAGGCAGTTAAATCAGGTTTCTATGTGTCTTGTGTATTTGAACCATCTGCTGAGCTTAACCATTCATTTTAATTTGTCAGTACACTAGAAATTCTACCAAGCTGACACAGGCAAAAGCAATTTCCAGGGAGAAATGCAGAGGTCTGGCTGGTCATGAGAATAAAATATTTCAGCACTCCTACCACATGTGACAGCTAAGCAAATCTGTCCCTGGTGCTGACTTTATTAAACCCTTCTGTGCTTAGTAATAGAATACTGTCACCTCACCACTACCCAAGGTAATGGCAGGGGAAGTCTATGAAGACCCTCAGTGGATTCACGATAATTGGAAAATGTGTAATATACACATACTAAGAGAAAAGAGTAATGTAGAGCTATCCAACAATGTGGAGATAGTGTGGTTAATTTACAGCCTGAATGAATGGCTCATATATTCAGGAGCTACCTTGAATAGTAATTAATAAAACTGGGTTCAGAATGGAAGGATGAGTGTGCTAGTCTCAGGACTCCGCTTCAGACATGCTCCATAGCACCACTGTTATTTAAGCTGCTTTATACAGTGAAATATTGCAATTGCCTCTCTCCACAGGCTAAAAAAGATGTATCTCACATGAACTCAATTGAAAAGAATGTATCATCAATTTTCTTCTTTGACACCAAATTGATGCTCACATTTAATGTCACTGAACTTTGGAAAAACTCTCTTTACTGCTGAAGCACAGCTCTAGTTTTCCAGCATTTCTTTATTCATTGATATGGATAGCACAAAAATTTGAAGACAGGTAGAAATAAAAAAAAGCATATTTGTTTGTAGAGACATAAGCCTTACATTTCAGAGCTTAAGTCAAATTCATTACTGGGAGTGAAGAAAGGAATTTTCCTTCAGCTCAGGCCATTCCAGGTGTGCTTCCTATGAAGTTTCCTTATCCTTCTGAAAGGGTGCAGGCCCTCCCAGAAAGGGTAATACCTCACCAGAGAAACCACTATTCTGAAATGGTTTGAGAGCAAGTAGCTACAGAATCTATAAATTATGTCCTCCTATACCTATTCTAATGTTACCTATAAAATTGTTCCACTTCACTGCAAAAGAACAGGATTTCATTGCATTTTCATTCCAGTGAAGCATAAGGAAGAGTTTAGTGGTTTTAAAGATAAGGATATGCCCAATATTTAGCACTTAAAATACCACATCGGGATGTGAAATAGAGGGGCTCAAAGCCAAGCTTTGCCTTATTAACAGCAGAATCTTGAATCTGGAGCCTTTAGCCCTACTGACTGTGCTCCTCATCAGGTGACTGCCTGTTGCAATATGTCTCTGCCCCAAGAAGTTCTGCTGGAACCTGAAAAGCCAACCTGAGACAAGTTTTTAAAATAAAGTCATGGTCTTTGGGACATATGGTTCTGTTTCAGTAGGAAAAAAAGAACTAATTTATTCTGACAGTTCTAATAGTGCATTTCTTTCAATAAAATGAAACGGAAGCTTGTCAGGACCCTGATGGCACTTGTGGGTTTTATTCACCCTGACCAGCCTGACCTAGGGTCTCCATTCATACACCCTGCCTGTGGGCTCAGGACCCCCACTAAAGGTCACCCCAGGGCTACATTGCACCTGCAAGCTGACATCCTGGCCTAACTTTGGCCTTGCTCCATCACTGTGGACCTGCCCAGTGATCACTGGGCTCTGTCTTACCCTGGCCACCATCACCAGCCCTGATCCTGACTCACTGATTTGCCTTCCCAGCTTGATCGTGGCACTGCAGCATCACCATGGCTGCGCCTGGCGATTTGGGCTGAGGTGATGCTAGCTGCCATACCTGGGTGTGTCCTGCCTGCCACACTTGGTGGTTGTCAGAAATATTCTTCAAGTTCAGACTTTGAAAATCCATGAAATATTTCCAAATCATGCTCTTCTGACATTTTAACAGGAATTTTGCAGAAATAGCATGAACAGGAACTTTTTTCTAATCTAGTTCCAGTATGCATGTGATATGTGTACATAATATTGTCCTCAGGTAATCTAGGGTAGAGATAGTGAGGGAATTATCTTTGTAATTAAGCCAGTAAGGCACACGACCTCCTTCAGAAAGGGGTATTTGGGAATTAAGCTTGTACAATGGGCACATATTGTACCTTGTGGGTAATCTGAGAGTCCTGGAGACTCTCCAACAAAGTATATGTATTGTTATTTTAAAAATTTTAACTATATTAAAAAACAAATGCTCATTCTTGTTTTGCTTTCCTTCCTCTTGTCTCTCCCTGACCTCTCTCTATTGTTCCTTCTATATGGAGCCTCTTAACATCAGCAGCTCTGCACATATGTTAACACAATGGGTTGCCATAAAGGATTACAGAGTCATGCAGTTCCTACAAGGTCACTCAGAAATTCAAGTTGGAATACAGACTACAACCAAAGAGTTGTTTTACTTCAAAGTAAATTCAAAAAGCAAACCGTGCTTCCGAATTTCCTCAGAGGTAATACACTTTACAACCATGAAATCTGCTACAGAGTCATTCATGCTGTGCTCAAGCATTAAATGAGTAAACCTTGAAGAAAGCTGTATGTCTTTATTGGCAGTTTTACAGCATCTCTTTCACTTTATTTGCAATAAAGATGCAAATTTTTTTTTAAAAAAGAAAACATATGCTAGAAATGGATAACACCTGTACATAATAAATAAAAATGCTTGCATTCTTATGTATAGTTTCTCAGCAGTAGCTTTCCAGGTGTTTCACAGCAGTGATCGGTAACATTGAGCACACTAGACTTGGCATTTTTTCATGACTTTAGCGAAAAAAAATGAGTCACAAGTGTCTTTATTATTCATCCAGGTCTAATTCACAGGGAAAGGGAGAAAGAATAGTGACTCGACTTACTTAAGTCACAGTCCAGGTCAGCGGCAACACTGGAAGAAAAGCTGAAAACACTTTAGCTGATTGTAAAAGCACTTGTATGTAGTAGAAAGACAAGGCTTATAACACAGGAATATTAATGTGAAAAGGATCAAGCCACACCTAGAACTGTAGACATTTGCTAGAGACAGGCTATGTAACACAGCAGTTTGAGAAAGAGAGTGGGGATTCAACATGCTGTTTTATGCTGGGGTTTCATGCTGTTACACATTCCTGTAACTTTGATATGGAATCCTAGATTTATCACTAACTTGCTCAATGGACTCAAAAAAAAAAAAGACCTTTATGTATGTTGCACAGCAGGTTGCTCCTCAACCACTCATGAAATAAGGTGCTAGTCAATACAAGATTTGCTTATTTTGCCTCTCTGCAGTTGCAACCACATCCCATTATGACAAATAAAATATGAGATGTTGTTCACCAGAGACTAATTTTTTGCTTCCTATATTTACATCATATGTAAGAGGTAGAAATGATACCTGCCAATTCACAGAATTTTTCTGAAGATTAATTTCACTGGAATATTATTCTTGAAAAAAGCTGAGAAAGCTAAAGACTCTAAGGTTAGCATATGTTAAGACCTGTTTTAATGGAGATGCAGTTATCAGCTCTCACGTGTAAAGAGAATCCATTTAACTAGGGTTAACTCAGAGACTCTGGCAAACACTGTGGTAAGGTGTTGTAACAGATGACATTCACAACTGAAGGAGTATGCTAGCAAAGCTATCTGGGAAACACAGCTCCTTAATGGGGTATCTCTTCCAAGCAGAGGCAAAGACCTCCTTTCCTTTGGGTCTTGGTGCATTATTTCATTTATGCATGATCCAAAACATGCTCAGGTCAATGGGACTCTTCTCTTTGAGTTGAAGGAACATTAGTTCTCAGCCACACATAGCAAGATAATTGTAGGAATATTTCTAAGTGGTGATTTAGTCTCTTTTGTGTGAATTTAAGTGAAAGAGTTTTTCCTGCTTTTGGATGCTAACATTTGGGCAAGTACTATCAAAAGAAGAAATCTACACTCTCAAAGCCCACTCTCCATAAATACTATGGAAAACAACCAATCCTTTGTGTCTTCCATTTTCTACCAGTATCTGAATATATATCAGCAACTAAGTGAACCTTGCAGCATCTCCAAAGTCAGTATTAACATCCCCATGGAGAACTGAAGACATTGGGGAACAAAGAATGTAATTGAGTGTTCCAGAGCTATAAAGCTAGACAGTACAATTTGATATACTATGTTAAGTATAGCTATTATGTATTAAATTATACAGTTCTGAATTCACCTGCAAATGCCAATTTTCCTAAGCTCTAATCACAGAATAAGGTGTTTCAAATTGTCAGACATCAATGCATGTACGAAGTACAGTTATTTGCTTGTATTTTCAATTTAGTGGAGAAGCCTACAAACACAATCATTTTTTAATAGATTCCAAATGAAAAAGTGCATTTGAAATTTCTTTTACCCACAAGAAAATAAAGAAAAAAATCAACAAAAGTTTACTGTGCAGAAAACAGGGAGGCATCTGTTCTAGTCCTTTCCTACCCATATATGATAATGACTTTCCTGATGGTTTTGAGATAACTACCCTAAGGAATAAGATATTGCAGCATTTACTCTGTTACAAATGCATGGTTTTGATGGAGTAAATACTGCAGGTTTGGTCCCTTGCTTGTTTTAGATGGTTTTCTTTAAGCCCAGAAAACAATTTTACTGAAATTACCAGGACTTTTGCCAATTATTTCACTGGGAACAGGAAAATAACCATTCCTAAGCAGTACATAGGAGACAAGAAAAAATATGTAACTTTCCTTACTTTCCCCTGGTAGTTTCCAAGCCTGATGTTTTGGAGTTGCCATCCTTCTGGGTGCTGGTGATACCAGTGCTGGGCAATGACTGCTTGAGAGATCTGTTCCCTGTAGCTGTATCCTGGCTTGTAGTGACCTCTTGCTGGAGAGGGACCTCTCTAGCATTGCTCTGTAGAGATGTCCCTTTGCTGCTAGATGAGCTTGCTGTGTTATTTTTCTCAGAGTCACCATCACTGTGTCCATTTGACTGGCTTGCAGGGTTAAAGGTTGTAGGATTGGAGGTTTTCTTCACGGCTTTCATTCCCAGAGTCTTGCCTGAAGATGCAAAAGGAGGTGCCTGTGAGGCACTCACTTTGGCAGCTTGGATCTCAGAATGGGGTGACCCCACAATTGTGGATGGAGATGGAGTCAAGTCTGAGTGTCTTGTCTGGCTTTCACCACCCTGGGCTGTGGTCCAGAGCTTTCCTGGTGTGTTAAATCCAATGCTGCCCCTCTGTAAGTGCAATAGGAGCAGCAAGAAGATGATGTCCTTCATTCTGCTGGCTTGTAAATGCTACAAGTTATCTCACATTTATTTCCCAAGCAAGAAATCCTGTAGCCTCTCCCTCCTCCTGAGCTGCTGCACATACAGTGAGCCTACCCAGAGGATGCCCTGACAGGCTTTATTTCTATAGAAAGGAAACAGGTTTTGGTGTTTCAAATCTGACTGAGGAAGCCTGGTTTCCTGTTTCTGTGGATTCCTCTGCAACCTGTGACCCCTTGGGGAGCGGGAGCCTGGCAGCCTTTGTGGGAGGAAAAAAGAAGTTTCTGCAGAAGGCATAGGATAAAGATTAATGGCACAATAGAAATGAGGAAAAATGTGTACTGTGAAGTAATCCTGAGAGATAAAAACTGAAATTATGAGGTAATTTTCCTTTCACATGTACGTGTACAGAGGACAGAAGTGACTTATCACGTGCACTTTTGATGGTTCGTACTTGTGACCTTGTTATTGAAAAAAGAGTTGGCAAAACTGGTGTGCTACATAAAGCTGAAAGTTTGCTGTGTCTTCTCCTTTTGTTTGAATGTTTAAGCACACTGCTGCCAAAAGTGCGGAGATGATAAGGAAGATGTTCACACTGTATTCATCATTGTACAAGCCTTCAAACGTAATCATTTACCTATAGGTCATTGGCCATTTATGTCGCATTCTGTTTCTATAGTTCATATAACGATGCATATGAACTATTTCTGTAGCATTGCCCATAGGTGTCTGGTGTCATTTCAGATTCTCTAGGGTATGAGAAACACCTATGTGTGTGGGAGCAGCTCAGAACACCTGGCATTTGTTTTCAAGAGTGACCGTCAGAATTTGTTGTGCTGTATGTTTGCCAAGCCTTGAAGAACTAGTTTTACAAGGACAGGTTGGAGGATGGCCTTGTATAGGCCTGGGAAGATGTGGCTGAAGACAGTCATGAGTATGTGTATGGAATGTTTTTATCTTTAACTGTTCTGAGGACTGGCAAACATCCCAGCTGAGCCAGACATGCGCTCCTGTGTTAGTCATATTGGCTGTGTGCCGTTAGTGCTTTCTAGATCTTTGTTGAAACATATGTAAGTTGGATTCTTTTGTGAAATAAAGGGAATCTTGTACCGATAGCTTGAGCACTTAATTCAGTCGCCACAGATGGTGAGCCCGACATGATCAAGAGAAGAAGGCGACGTGATTAAGAGAAGAAAACAACGTGATCAAGAGAAGAAGAAAAGAGGTGATTCCCCTTCACTGCGGAGACCATGCAATCTAATGGGAAGAGTTTTGAAGAAGTGGCCATGACTCCGAGAAAATAGGTAACAGCAACCCGTGTGGAACGGGTGAGTTGTGAGATTGCGGCAGCATGGGGCAATCAGTTTCTCAGGAGCATAAGCTCTACTTAAACGTTTTGCAGCAGATTTTACGGGCCTCTGAGTATAAAATAAACGGAGGGACAAATTGCCTCGCTTTTAATATGGGTAAAAGATAATTGTAACTGGTTTCCCACAGAGGGAACGTTTGATAGCAAGGTTTGGGAAAGAGTCGGGGAGCATTTACAAACGCAGAAAACTTTGGCATTCGGTGTATCAGAAAATTTAATTGTGACATGGAAATTTATTTATACTGCGCTGGTGCATTTACAGCCAGCAGAGAAAATCATATCAATACAACCTGATACTGCTTTTGAGGAGACAGTTTGTAAGCAGGCCGCTAAAGAGCAGAGTTCTGATTCCGATAATAATTCTTTTGCATCAGGCAGGGTGGACTCAGAAATAAGAGCCGGATTTATATCCCTCGTTACCTCTACCGCCGCCTGCACTAACACCGTTACCGCACACACCCCGCCAGCAGGCAGGCAGGCAGGCAGCGGGCGGGCAGCACGGGCTCGCCGACCCTCCCCACCGCCCCG